TTTAAGCAAGTGTAGGAGAAAAATTCTCAAGACCTGTTTTTTCTTCGACGCAAAAAAAAAAAGAAAACGTTTTGTCAGTTAGTCTAAACATCGGACGGCAGTTGACTTTCGCACGACGTGTTCTCTTCTCGTAACCCTTTCTTTTCACCATTTACACTTTTGTTGTAATTTGCATAGTTTTCGGGACATTTCGATTGCACAACTTACCCCTACGATCAACTAACCCCGCCCTACCCTACATCTAACATGTATTCCCTATCCTGACCGTAGTTAGAGTGAACATTTTATTAAATAACAACCATACTTTTCTTAGAATTTTTTTGAAAAACTGAGAATATTTAATTGAAGTTATAACAAATATTTTTTATCAAAAATATCATAAACGAACGGTATTTATTTTTTTATAAAAAAAGTTTGAAGTTAGCGACTTTCGATATTTTACGTGATTGGAAGTAAGTAAGCGATAGTCTGTAAAGAGAAGCAGCACTAGTGCGTGAGAAAGAAACCAATAACTATAACCTATTGCGTTGGTGTCTTTACTTGGCGTGATACTTCCTTAATAAGACTTTAACTTGAATAGATAAAAACTGCATTAGATCAGATACTTTTCTTATAAAAAAAAATTTTATTAAGAGTTAAAAAACATTTATTGATATTTGATAAATGGATAAATTATTTCAAGTGAATAAATTTATCAACAGTTAGTAAATCTTTCTATCAGTGCATTAATAGTAAAATTAACCGTTCAAGTAAAATGGAAAACAAAAAAAAATTTATAATAGCCGTGTGGTTAAAGTAAAGAAAGTATTTTATCTGAAAAGTTATATGTCTAGGAAGAATGCGAAATGGGAAATGTTGGAGCAGAAGACGTCCGGTTGTAAATGCCGGGTACTGTTTGTACCTTACAATGCTGTATTATTTGTAGCTACTACTGAGTTCCAAGTCTGGCTAACGAGTCTGATTCTACTACAAGACTTGTTCATCTTTCATCTACAACCATTATTCCCTTGGTTATATAAGACAGCTTCATGCTCAGACGGATTTCCGCCAGTTTACAAGTTCTGCCAAACCAGAAACTACAAGGTTTGACATAAGACAACGATATAAAACAGCAACCAATCACATGACTTTTTTTACTCCCTCAAGCTAGTTTCATCTCTCCTTACCTTTTTTTAAAACATTTACTTGACATTCAATTTTTGAGTATACTTTTACTTCCGCGGCGGATAGGTTTTTATTCTTTATTGAAATAGATGTCAATTGCATCTAAAGTACGTCTCGTAACTTCACTTATCAGTACTCGTATTGCATGACAGCTTCCGACATTTCTATCTTCCAAATTTAATATATTTTTTAGTATTACGTAATTTACTTTTATAAATATTGAATTTTTCTATCACTATTGCGCGGTATGTCATTGTCACTATAATATGTCTAGTCCGATAAATTTTATTTCACATCTCTGATAATATTCAGAGAGATATCGGAAACTGAGATAAAATTTATCACCGAAATTATTTATTTAAAAGAGTGAATTCAATACCGAGCTTTAATAAATCGAAACGTATCACGTGAGGTAAATTTTTCTCTTCACGCGTGAGTTATTTTTGTTCAGTAAAGTAGACGTTTTAAAAGAATAAGATTAATGTGAACAAGCATCCGGAATACTAGACTGACTGTGAGAAGATATGCATTTTAAGCCACCTGGCGAGCGTGACCGAAACTAATGATTATTCAATATCGAATTTTTAGTTAGTTGAAAAATCATAAATTTATGTATTAATAATAACGATCATGCATGAATTCAAATGGTGAAAAATCATTCGCAAACATCTGCGTATTCGTACATTCAAATATATTCATCATTAATATTAATTTAAAGTTTATTTATTTGTTTTAAATATATTATCTATATGATCAATTATTATATTAATATATAATGTATTTATTTATGATTTACAGTTAAATCATTATACTGTAATAACGACTCTAATGCGACTGCACAGTAAAGAATTTACATTTATAACTTCTAGGTTTCAATATTGACATTTTAATATAAAGGTCATTTGAAAAAAAGGATGCTAAATTATACCACTCAGTACAAAAAGTATAAAAGAGTTTGTGTAACTATTAAAAAATTAAAATAAAATAACAAGAATAAAAATAAAATTTATAAAGGTATTATAAATTTATGTGTCTAACTACATAATATATAGTATTTTTAAAATAAATATTTTCTATAGAGTTTAGTTTTGAGTAACCCGCCATTACTTAAATGAATTATACACTCTGTTAGAAGAAGACCACCATGCCACCTTCTGGTGATTTCGAACAATAGTCGAGTGCAATAGCTCAAGTACAATCACAGCTATATTCACGCGTTCAAAAATTTCTATTTTTTAAAATAAACAGCACGGCCGATTGAAGAGTGGAAATTTGATTGTCACTCCCAGCCAAAATATATTAATGATTATCAAATAAAACAAGGTTGGTCTAGAATTTTCAAAAGGGGTTTCCGCATTAACCATATGAAAGGATTGAAAAAAAAAATGGTTTAGAAAATAGGATTTTGCAAAAGTTATCGTGTTTGCAAGCCTATTAACTCGCAAGAAACCTAACTATGTGTCATTAAAAACAGTCATTTTGTACGAAAAATCTTAATTATTCGATTCAGTTTTACCTTTTATATTATAAGTATAACAAAATTTTAAACCGAGAATTACATTTCCACTTGAAAAACAAAATTTATGTTCAATATTAAATTAAAATAGCAAGTTCTCGAGCCCTAGTCACACGAAACATAATATTTACCCGCGTTCAAGATACTATTGAGTTTAATTAAAGTCTGTGACCTAGAAACAGTGGGTTGTATTAACTTATGAAGGGTGTAGTGGTGAGTGACATACTACCTACGACAATTTTCCTGTATATATATATATATATATATATATATATATATATATATATATATATCTTGTATCTTATAACTGTAACTTATAACTAAAGAGTTACACACTTCGGAAGAAAAAACACGAGTAGTGCTTAATGTATGCACCAGCACGTACTTGGATCAAAGAACTAGAAAAATAATTGTGAGTATGCTACGAAATTTTAACTAACCAATAAAATTTATAAAAAAAATTTTTTCCGCGAACGAAAATCGTTTAAAAGTTATTTAATAATTTTAGTTGCACTTAAAGTTTAATGAAACAAATTACCATAACTTTCATTACAACACCAAAATAACATTTCGTAAATGGCATAGTTAATATTCATAAATTAAAACCACAGTTTACGGCATGTATAAAATATAAAATAATATATAAATGCTTTTACGGGGGGAAAAATGTAAAAAAAGTAAGAAATATACGAAAAAGTGCAGCGTTTTCATTACAGCACCTTTTTTGTCAGCCGAATATTTCGCATCAGACATATATAATGTATGTATGTATGTCGTATGGATTGTAGACAGCAATACTTAAATATATGTAAAACATTCATCTTGAAAAATTGGAAAGAATTTCCACAAATATTCTATCTCTGAATACTCTCAAGTGTAAACCCAATAATCTAAGAGGAAGAGGAAAAATTTTTCACTGATGCTTCCATACAACAAAATAACTAAATAATGTAGAATAACGTATAAAATGTAATATTTAATGTACTCAAAAAATTCATTCAGTGTTATTATATGCTATGTACGTTAGAAGTTGGATGTTGGTATTATGCGCATGTGAATATGCTGTAGGTAGATTACTCATGGAATTCTCCACACTTTCCAGGATAGTCAGAGCATCAACAAGAGCTTCGGCTTTAGCTTAAACCATATTATATTCTCGCATATGTCACATATATGGATGACTACTTTGAATATTTCCTCCGTATAGTTGACTTTATACACGGCTTATAATGCGTTTATCACGGAAAGGTGGTACTAAGAATGATCATTTTTAAAGAATAATGTTTACTAAATCTTACCGAAAAGTAGAGAAATTAAAAACGAATATATTTGGGGCATTCCATGCCAAATCACCGAGGTTTTGACCCGACCCCCTTCGATTTCGCTGAAACTTTTTTATCATTTTCTATCCTACCAAAGACATTTTTCTGAATTTTTTCAGATTTTTTTACCCAACCCAAAAAAGTTACGAATTTAAAAAAAAAACCACTCTTTTCTTTTTAAATTGCTATAACTTTTTCACAAAGTTAGATAAAAAATGATTCTACTTGGCCCGATATTTTATGTATCAAATATTTACATCGAGGCTTAATAAGTTTGAATTAGACTTAATCAAGTAATCGAATTGGATATTTATTAGGGTGCATTGGAAAAATCCTAAAATAAAGAATCTGTTTAAATTTGATATTAACAAATTTTCATTTAAAAAATAATAATTTTACTAAAAATGAAAGAAAACATTAAGATTACGTCTTCAACTTACACACTTATCGGTCCGATGCTTGTAGGTCGAGATATAAAATTCTAAAGGTTAAATATGTTTGTTCCCATGTTATTTAAATTGGAAATAAAAATTTTTCCACTGTACATATTAATAATGAGGGCTCAAATTTTAACAGGGTCTTTTGTTTGACATTCTCTGACAAAATTAAAGATCATTTTAAAAAAAAATTTTTCCTATACCATTTTTTCGATTCACCTCAAGATATATATAATTTGAATCTTTAAGAAGTTTTAATAAAAAAGTTTTGTGTAGTTATGTATTTATATATTAATGTATTCGTGTAATTTATATTTGAAATTTGCATCAGTATCTCGAGTTTATGAATTCTTGAGAAGTAAATGAGAAGCTGGGGTTGGTGTAAGGAGGAATGTTTTAGTTGAATAAGAATGTCTTTTGAGGTGATTCAAGTGTTTCTAGACCTGAACTGAGAGTTAAGGAACAAAGAGAAAAAGAATACTGAGAAATGAAATAAAGTAAAGAGATGATCTATCTATATATATATATATATTGCATTTGTATGCATAAAAAAGAACTTACAAGTGCATATCGAGGCTCGTTTTGGTAAATTGTTCCGACTCTCGTCCAGTTAAAGTGGTTCAATAATGCCACTCTCGGTGCATTGAAAGCGTTTTCAGATGGCACTATTCTGAAGAAATTTGGAAAGTTGTCACTCGTGAACATTGGATGGGTGTCAGCATAACTTAACTGTAACAAACAATCAATAATATTTATTTAGAAGTGGTTTATTTTACACTGAAAAAAATTTGCAGAGTAGACGATTTTTAGTTGATTCAATCCCTCCGAAGTGAAATACACTCTGAGAAAGATTTTACTTATATACAATATGTAATTAACTAGCTGTTACTGGCCCGCTCCGCTGGACGCTTTATAGAATTGCGTTTTTAGATCCAGACTTAAAATTTAATTAGAATATTGTTTTGACTTGCACAGATTCCGTATTCCATCGAATTAGCATGTACCTTTTATCCATGTGATTATTCTAGCTAATATTCATTGTAACTTTCAATGAGTAATTATTATAATATTCTCATGGCTTTCTTACAAAAGTGAATAATAATTGATGTGAAAAAAAAAAATTAGGAGAACGGTTGACCCTGAAGGCCATCCCTGCAACTTCCCGCCAATTACATACCTAAACGCTTGAAATTGCACTTATGACGTTTTTGAGCTCTTCTTTGAGCATTGAAAGTTTCAGTTAAAGAAATTGTAGGTCTTATAAGTGAAGAAATCTGCCTATACTAGCTTCAAGTGCGACGAATTTTTCCGTTTATTAAAATTTTCTAAGTGACATCAATTTTTTATAGAAAATTAATTTTATATGTTTTTTACGAATTCTATTTAAAGATGCCGGATTTATTTTCCACATATCAAGTGTTTGGAAAATGCATTCATTTTAATTTGTTACATTCCCGCGATCTCGCAATAAGAACAATTAATCGCTTATGTGATCAGCAAAAATAACATGTATGTAAAATTCTTAGTCCTTTGACTAAATAACTACATGTAAAGTTGAATTTTGGAAATCTTATAATGACTTTTTTCCCGCTGCCAAAGAGACGATTTTTGTAAGGAAATTTTTAGCAATACAAATGTTATTGAAGTTTAAGGGACATCCTAAATTTCATGTTTCAAGAAGTCCTAACTTATAAACAAAAACATTTTTTAACATTCTACTCACCACTCTGACACAACCTGCATATGAAGTCAATTATCGCGAAATTCGTTTTTAGTCGATATCTGATTATTAAAAAGGAAAAATATTTAAATCAGTTGACCCTGGAGGCCATCCCTGGAATTTCTTGTTTCTCTTGAGATTCTATCAAATTTTATATCTGTAATAGGATCGGTATTTGAAGAAGATGAATTTTTTTACAATTAACGACCCCGCACTCCTATATGAGGGAGGAAATTCGTAAGATCCTATTCGAGATGATTTCTACATTATAAATAAAAGATTCCTTCACAACTTCGAGTCCATAGAAACTATTGTTTGGAAATGAGAGTTTTTAATTGTTAACGCCCCCGCGATCCTTTTTGGGGTTGGAATTTGATAAAATCCATTCTTAACTGAACTTGACATCATACACGAACATTCCTACCAAATTTGGAGTCAGTAGAAGTTACAGTTTGGAAACTGAAATTGAACATTCTGAAACCCACCCCCGCAATCCTTATTGGGGGTGGGTTGTCGTAAAATCCGCTCTTAGTTCATTTCTGCATCACACATAGAAGAAACCGACTAAATTTGGATTCTGTAGAAGATATAGCCTGGAAATTAAAAATTTTAATTGTTAACACCCACTCTCGCCATAATTTTTGGAGTTAGGTTATCGTAAAAAATGCTTTTAGATCATTTTCACATCACATATAGAAGCTTCCTACCAATTTTGGAGGCTAGAAGAGCTATAGTTTAAAAACGGGAATTTTTCATTGTAAACGTCCCCGCAATCTCCTTTGGGGAAGGAATTTCGTAAAATCTGTTCTTAGTTGACCTCTACATAGCAAAAAGAATATTCCTACCAAATTTCAAGTTTTTGAGGCCTATGGTTACCGAGATTTCGTGATAAGTGACTATATAAATGAAATTCTCCTTTAATCGGAGCCTGTAGGTGGATGCGTGAAAGGGTGTAGGTGGACGTGCAGGAAGGTGTGAGTGGGTCTTTAGCTGAATGTAAGGAAAAAATTTAATTTAATCCCTTTACATCCAATTTGATTAAATAAAAAAATAAAGGAATTGAAAGAAAATGCCTGTCTCTTGTTTTTATTAACGGGAAAATGTTTATAACAATAAATCGTAAAAAAAATGAGAAAGGGTTGATAAAATTCAAAAAACGAGTAGCCTATAACGATCTACGGAAAATTCCGCGTCGAATGATTGCAGTCCCATCCCAATAGATTTAGTAGTTTTTATGTGATGGAGCGTCATAAGAACCCTATTTTGCTTATATAGTTTAAAATAACTTTGCAGAATAAATTCTAGTAAATTCTGTATTTTTTTTTAGTGAATAGAAATGAAAAAATAATTACTCATTTAAATATTACAAAATTTGTAATTAGAATTCTGAAAATTAATGTTATGGCCAGCGTAACTACCCTTTATCATTAACGAGGCGACTGCTTGGCCGAGCGGTTTAAGTCTTAAACTGCCGCACAGCAGTCGCTCAGGCGTGGGTTCGAGCCCTGGCAATTGCAATTTTTCTTCTGCGATTTCCGGGGCTTGCTCCCTTGCCGACTGTACCTTGACCAGGTTTCTGTGGTTTTTCCTCGGTCATTGTGCCCCTAAAATAAGCGGGGCACAGGCAAATGCGGGTACAGACTGTAAGCCGGCCACAGCCGCAAAAACGGAGGGTCCTGTTACAGGACTATATAGGAGGAATAGCTACAGGAGGAAATAGCTACAGGAGTAGCTTGGAGGGGGCCTGGTACTGCGAAGTAATGCTAACGCGGTCCCGCAGTATCAGGTACAAGAGAGGGGAGGGTTTTAGTGAGTAAGAATTTCACACTACCGGCAACCAATATCTCCAACATCTAGCCGGTGTCTTATGAAGATTTCCCTCCTCTCGCCAAAAAAAAAAAAAAAAAAAAAAACCCTTTATCATTAACAAATAATTTTAGAATTGTTTAAATACACGCTATGGAAAATTACATTCATGATAAACAATATTTCCAACGCGGAGGCTAGAATACTCGAGAACTAAAACAGTAGCCAAGGTCCCATACTTTTACTCAGTCGCAATTAGTCCCCCACTTTTGGTGACCATAAAAAAGTTATAATTTTCTAACTCTACATATAGGCGGAACTAAGATCAGCTGAGTCGAAACCACCAACCCGAATGCGTGTCTCAGGCAGCATCATAGTTTTCTGGTTTACATTTTTAAACACACAAATCTTCATAGATACACATGGGACCTTCAAGTACCCCTCTGTGTTTCCTACTTCACCTTATCTCGACATTGCTTCTAGAAGTTTCTAAATAGGCCAACTAAGTTATTCTAACTATAAAAATCGTCTAACCTTCTAAAACATTTGCATTTTTATGTAACGTGTGATGATGTATAACAATATAATGTATAATATTAATAATATTTTAATCTAGATAATACATAATAGTAAAAGGAAGTGTCTAAAGGCAATTTCACTAACTAACTACCACTTTCTGTAATCTAGCTTGTATCCTCCAAACTGTTAAAGAGAATTTTCTTGAAAAAGCTTATAATTACGTTCACAAGTTTAAAATATCCGAACAAAAACAGTTTCACTGTAAAAAAATCGCGCCAAGTCCACGTTCATAAGATTATTAAGAAAAAAAAATTGTTTTTTTCTTTACAAAAAGATATAAAATAAAAAAAT